CAGTCCCCTGCTATCCTCTCAGAAGCTTAAAAAGAGATTCCTAATCTCTATTTCCTTTGATTTCTTATCAGAGAAAATCCTGCCCTCTTTAACCCTAGGGTTTTGTGGTGGCAACTCGTGGGGATGGCCTGCCTTGGGCCTTGCCCCAGCTGTTGGCAGAGCAGGGCCTGGAACCAAGGTCTCTGGACCCCTGGTCTGGGCTCCATCCTGGGCTGAGTAGTTGGCCAGCACATTCTGCCACGTCTGTCAGCCCCAGCTTCCTTTATATTATCTTCTCATGTTTCCTAACTTCTAGCCAGTGCACTTGTGAGTTTCTCTTGGAGCTCTGTGGCCAGGAATAGACAACCGGGGCGAATTCCTAATATTCCTGATCTAGAAGTCGCTGTTACACAAGGGGTGAGAATCCTTGACAGGAAGTTCCCGGCAGGGAGGGCAAGACAGAGTTCCCAGGACCCTCCATTTTGCACAGAGGCCCTAGAGCAGGAACTGCCTGGCAAGGAAGCAATCCTGCCATTTCCAGGTCTGGGGTAGGGAATGGAGAGGTGGCAAATGCCACACAGAGGGACCTAAGGGCTGTAAGGTGTTTTCTCTGCCAGACTCAGAACTCTGAACAGGAACACCAGAAGGCAGGGAGAAAACTGGGGTAAAAAAATGCAACATGGCACTGACATTGACAAAGAAGGGGACGATCAGCATGACGATGGCCAATTTCAGGTCTGGGTTTTCAATGGGATTCAATAGGGCTACCTGTAAAGAGAAGCAGAATGAGAGATGTGAGGGAAGACCATAGGGAAAATCACCCATGCGGCCCTGAGAGAGGGGCTTAGCTTAGACACTGACCCAGAGCCCTGAGGAGAAGAGCACCTCACACCCAGAGCTGTACAATCCCAGATTTGACTGCTACTGAGGGACCGCCTTGGAGACCACTTGGAGCAGTTAGTGCTTTAGCCGCTTTCCCTATGGTGTGGACTTGGAGAGTGAGGTCGGTGGATGCTCATTAGACACCAGCAATGAGGAGTCAGACCACTTTCTAACAGAAATCTGCACTGCGACCACCTCCCGAAGGACAACAGCTCTGAAATGCCTTGGACTGTTTTCTTAAAAAATAAAAAAACCAGCCATGAATAAAACCAAGGGACGGCCAAGCTATTTGTTTCCAAAAGCTCTTTGGATGATTTAATGTGGGCATGTGGAAGAAATGGGCAGCAGAGGCTTATCTGAACAGTAGTGGGGCCAGAGGTCAGGGCCCAGGAAACCTTGGGGAAGATGTGTGATCAGTGGCTGCCTGAGGCACCTACATGCTCAAACCATTGGTCAAGAGAGGTGCGTGAATAAGATATTTGCAAATGCAGAGAATACCTGCCTGACTTTTACAGTTGTGAGGCCTGAATGCTAATATCAGACAGTAAGCAACATGAGGGCAGGGGCTATATTTTCATCGGCTTTATGTGTCCTATTGGCTTAATCTAGAGCAGACATTTACATAATTGAAGTGGATGGATGCTATGTAAAAAACTGACTAGCTACTGCTCTTGAAAGGTCCTCAATAGGTGCCATATCGGACCAAATCCAGAGTGTATTCACAGAATAAAAAAAAAAAAAATTTGGTTTTCCAATATGGTTGGCTGGAGGGAGGTGGCAAAGGGAAGAAATACTATTTTACTTAGCATCTCGAGGAGCTGCTAAAGAAGAGACAAGAGGCAAACCTTTTTCCACTGAAGTATTAGGAGGACGATGAAGACGACAGATTTTTCAAAAATCATGATCAAGATGTAAAGAGCGCACTGCCCAAACCAGGCTCCGCACTGCAGAGGATCTCCTGCAGGGAGAGTGGGCGCTTAGTTACATGCAGCTCAGACATCGGGATCCGAACTGGGTGATGCTTCCCCTCTCCCCACAGCTTATGTGAGCCCACACCCCCCCACTCCACACCAGAGCCTTGGCTCTAGAGCTACGTAATGACTCTCCAAAGCACCAAGAATAGCTTCAGCCTGAATAGACAAATGTGGCTGTTTTAAACAAAATCAGAAAATTCCTAATTTGGAGATATCAGAGTGGCTTCTCTTTCAAGAGATTCTAAGATATAATTAAAAAGCACTAAAGTTAGTAAGTGCCCATTGCTGAGCTCAGAAGAGCCGGTTCTTTTCGTCCACTGGCAGCAGAAGCTGTGTTAAGCAAGACTGCTATTATTACCCACTGTTGATTTTTCCATTGACTGTGGTGCTATCCACCCTCTCCTCCTCCCAAGAGTGGGCCAATATTTTTGAATTATGAAGGCAGTAAACAATCTTCTTGTTCATCTCCCACCCCACTATCCCCACTCCCCCACTGTTCCTGCTGCCTTCAGCCCTAAAAGCGGAAATCCGACTCTGAAGGAATTCAGATTCTGTCTGGGATGGGGCACCCCAAAACACCCTGGGCTGAAGACAAAGAAGAAAAGAGGGACTTGGTGAAGGGTGGAGGACCAGCCCCTCCGGGTGATGATCTACATCCTCAGTGACAAGCAGAACCCATGGTGGGATGAGCCTCTGGGGAGCCACACATGCCTCCCCAGTGGGAGAACCAGGGGAGAGCAGGGGTGGGGGCTGCCAGGGGCCTATTCCAGAAGCTCTCCCGGGGCTGCCTGACCGCAGCTGGCCAGAAGAAAGGCTGGAGAGTAACATTTCAGGGGAGGCAAAGGCCCCAATCCAGGCTAAGAAGAGAATCTGGCCCAGAGAGAAATCTCCAGCTTCGATTCTACCGCTTCACAGCGATCCCTGTCCAGGCCCCAGTGCCGGAGGCCCCAGCCCTGCTTGAGCCTACCAAGCATACACGGTGGAAGCACGGTGAAGACCTTCATGCCGCTGTAATGGACACGACACCAGGCCTTCCCTTTTCTGGAAAACCTTGGCAGAAGTGTGCAGAAAGACGGCGCTGCCTCT